CTGCTTTAGTATTTCTTGAAGAAGGTTCTAGCCATATACGGCATAAATTTACAAATCTAACTTTTTGAAAAGTATTACTTTTTGAAAGTATCAAATGGACTGCTAAGTTATTATGTCGCATGAATTTATGGTTTAAATGTTTATTACTTTTTTTGTTTAAGTAGTTACAAACTTGTACTCAACTAAGTCTGACAAAGTCACAGGGATGATTAAAAATACCATTAGAAACAAGTTCCCCAAAAATAAACCATAGAAATTATACTAACTAAAGTAGCTTAAGTAAATATCTTAATGTAAACAAAGGATACTTTATTTGTTTTTCTAGAATTATATCAGATCACTTTATAGAATCTGATGCTATGGTAACAAATATCAGTTATATAAAGAGTGAGTAGATTAGCCTGAATCCCACTGTTGACTATTATTTATTTACATATACTTACAGATGTACTAAAAGTAGTAAATTGCAAAATATCAATAGAAATTGTGGTAACATTTTGATTGAAATTCACATTCTAAATATATGGAAAATTCTGCAAGAAAAGGGATGCGGTGCTAGATTCTTTAAAATTTGCTTTATGAGTCTAAAGTTGATAAACAAAATTTTAAAATATCTCTAAATGTTAAGCCAAGTTTATTTAACCAACATTTAAGTCACCTTTACATTATTCTTGAATGCACTTGAAACAGCATCTGTTATCGTAGCTAGAAATAGATTTTTTCTTTTGAACATGCTTCCATGGTTTGAAATTACAAGTATTGAATTTTGCTTTGAAATGCATTACAAACAACAACTGAATTAATAACCAATGAAAATTCTTAATTGATTTAAAAAAAATAAATAAAAGTAAAATACACATCCTAAACATAATCAAAAGAGAAAGGGTATTATACATTCAAACATCTTAATATTATATGACTTTGCTGTAAATAAATTTACAAAGCAACTTAAATCTTCATTAAATTATTAATGTAAGTATCAATATAATTATTATTATTATATTAAGCACTGGTTTCACTTAAAGGAATGATTAAATTTCAACAATGAATATAATAAATATGTAAAATTATAAAAATCATTTATGATAACATATACTTAAATTTTATACGAGAACAGAATATATTAAGGACATGAGACTTACCTACAAAAATTGGAACCTGCAGTATTTACATGCACAATACATTTACAAAAGCACTATAGGGAATTGTCTGGAACTTCTCCACTAGTGTATTTTTAATATTAAATTATTTAAACATATTTTTTTTTACTATTTACTTTTTCATTAAGCAATGACAAAGTAATGAAAAATATGAGCAAACATAATGCAGTTGAATTTCAAAATTGAATATGGAAGCACAAAAGAGAAAAACATTTCTATACAGCTTTTCAGAGATAATACACAATATAGAATTTAATGATAGCTTTACAGATATATTTTCTTTAGGTTAATGAAAAAACAGATCAACATTTTTTCGAATAGCCTATGGATGAACAGATAGATCCAATTACAATATATTTAAAAACAGAAGCTCTTTGCCTGCCTGTAACATCATCATGATGATAATAATAACTAGGAAAGGAAATTGTTAATAAGCAAACTCTACAGAATATTTCCCTAATATAAGAGAGTAATAAAAAGTTCTTAGCCTGATCAAAAAGCCCTTCCTCTCTAAAAATTTGGCAATTTGGTTAGATTTTTTCAAGTGAGTCAAGCTGAGAATTTTTCAGCATCCTCATGTGTGTGTGTGTGTGTGTGTGTGTGTGTGTGTGTGTGTGTGTGTGTGTGTGTGTGTGTGTGTGTGTGAATACAAATGTGAATAGAACAATTTTTTAGAAGTGTATTTATTGGGGGAGGGGGTGTTTTCTCATTTATTAAAACTGTATGCAAATTAAAAGATAAGCAAAATAGATCAGCTGTTAAATTTATAGGCCTCATCAGCTGATCAAAACTAACTTCGGTTAATATAGAAATAAATTCATTTCTAACAGATGCATCACCAAGCATTGAAAAAAAAATATATAGCAAACAATTATGAAGCTGTAGACAAGGAAAGGGATTATATTCTTAATTTTCATGATAAAAAGAAATGAGTAACAAAGAAAGCATCTAATATTTTGCTGCATCAGCAAAAATTATAAATCACTGACCCACAGTCTTCAATGTGAAGATGGGAACAATGGCAATAGAATTATTAACAAAGAATATTTAGTGAAAAGATTTGTCTTTTTGTTGCTGTAAAGAACATGCAGACAAATCAAATATGTGTTTTAACGAGCATTTTCAAAAGGAAAATAAATTGAACATTTATCAACATTTCTAAGAAAATAATTTCCACTTTGATGTTGTCTTGGCTCTCACAAAAAAAAAAAAAAAAAAAAAACAAACCAGCCAAAGCTTGTTTTTTCTCAAAATGGTTATTTTCAAAGGTGTGTGCGTGTTTTATGCTGGCATAAGAATGTAAAACAAAGCAAGAGCATTTCTCTATGAACATTACTGAAGCAAAAGTAGACTTTCTCAAAATTATTTAGTTTAACTATTCAGTTAAGCTTTAATTCACTTTTGTTATATATAATGCATTTTTCATACAATATCCTTCAATAAACAGATAAGAATAATGAGCCAATATTTTTGTACACTGTTATGAATTATTGTCTTTCAAATTTCAATTGCAGTGTAAATTTTAAGGCAAATTACAAGAAAGAAAAAAAAAATACCATGTACTTGCTGTAACAGTAATTAACAAAATTGAATTTTTCTTTCAACCAGACCAAAATACTAATGAAACTCATCTTTAACACATAAAAAAGATGTCTTGTCTAACTTTTATATAACAATATATTAAATGACAATATTGCATCAAGCAATGTAACCTCAAAATCCGGAACTTCATCCACCAGTACACTTAACTGAAATCTGATAATTCCATTCTTGTATAATTCAAACATGTGACTCTCATGGTACTATACTTAATTATACTGTATCTTTTTAAGTGGATAGTGATGGGAGTAGCTGGTTATTCAAAAACTGATGATTAAAGAAAAAAATAAAATGAAATAAGCTGGTAAAAAGAGAATAATTACACACATAAGAAACTATAGAATATTGTTTGACATATGTCTACATAAAGAAACAAAACGTTTTGAAAGTCTGTTACCTGCAATAATAATAAATAATGAGTAATAAAAAGAAAACAAATCTCTTTTTTCCTTCTATAAGTGAACTTCAGTTTGAATGATAAATATCCAAATGTGATAAACATTTACACATGCATACAATTTACATAATCTTTGAATGATTCTAGTACATAACTGGCGTAAGTCATATTTGTAAGTCAATGCAAGAAAACAAATCACAAAATACAGTTTTGTTTTTTCAATAGAAAAAACAAGCAAACCAAACCACCTGAAAGCAATATAAACAAACTATTTGGTATTTCAGGCATGATTTATTGATTGAAGTAAAATTTTAATATCTTTTAAAACTTTATCACTGGATAATGTCCTCCCTTAGTTAGACACTTAGAAGATCAGGTTCAGAATTGATGCTAGGGGCATATGAAATCCCCAATAATAATAGTAGTTGTAGTATTGCTGTATGATGCTAACATCCTTGGATAGAGGATTTGTTCTTATGGTTTGTAATAAAACTCAAAGATATAGATAGACAGAGAGAGTAGTTTGTGAGTGAAGTGTGACTTAAAAGTCTGACTTGTAACAGTCAGGGCTGACTGCAAGGTCATACAAGACAGCATGCTTGCAAGTAACATGTTGCTGGACATCCTTGCAAGATGCAATCAACAAATTAGAAAAACAGGAGAAATAAACAAATAAATAAATAAATAAACTTTAAGAGTCAGAAGAAAGGGAGGCATTTTTTCCTCTTCTTCAAAAGTTACAGGGAGACAACTGTGATTTAAATAATGCATGGATAGAGCATATTATCAATTGCAAATTTTTCTTTAATTTTTTTTTTCTTTCTTTCTTTCTGGGCAGAGGGAGGGAAAAATGGAATGGGAAAACTGTTTTGTTTTTTAGTTTTTTTTTTGTTTTTTTTGTTTTTTTTTTAATGGTAAATTATCTGAAGAAATTGTTACAAAAAGAAAATAGATTGATAGGAAAAAATCTCATTACTAGATAATAATTTTGTTAGAAAATTTTGTTTTTTTTTCCTCTTTAAAAAAAAAATTAAATTAAAAAAGGATTTCCTGATGTATTGAAACAGAGATTAATAAAAATGTCTTACTGTGGAGGAGGAGGCGAGCACTAAGTTGTAGTCCATCACAGAAGTAAGGAAAAGAAAAAAGTGGTGGGGGAAAAAAAAAAAAAATCAAACTTTTTCACAATAACAATATATCAGTCAGTTCCTTATATAGTATGAGGATAAGTAGGTCAAAGTTCAGCACTGTTGAGTGCAGTGGAAAGATACATCAGCAGTGATGTTGGTGACAACACCAAATAGTGCCACTAGCAGCAGCAGCAGCAGCTCCTCCTCCTCCTCCTCCTCCCCTAGGCTGACATCTTCCTCATAGAAGTCCACATCCTTCTGACATCTTCATTAAAGGGATTGCACAGTCACAATCTAAAAAATCAGTTTATAAAGTTGTTGATTTTTTTTTCTGTTGTATTTTATCTCCTGTTTTTTTTTCCCCTTGTTTTTCAGGTTTTTGTTTTCATCCTTGTATTATTTAAATTGAACATTTCAGCCAAGCCCAAATGCTCTACCCATACTTCCAAGTGTTAGAGGAGGAGGAGAAAGAGGAGGAGAGACAGAGGTGGAGGGGGTGCAGGCAGGGAGACAGGGGTCCAATGTCAGCCTAGGGCCCCTACACTTCCAGATTTGGAAGGTGGTGGTGTTGGTGGTAGTGGTGGTAAAAGTAGAAGTAGTAGTAGCTAATAGTACTTTTGTATCGAGGGTAGTGATGGTAAGGATGGTCCAATTTGGACCGCCACCATTTGGTCTGATGGTCTACCTAAGCCGCTGCAGCTGCCATTAGATGACAAAGTGTTGGGAAAGGGGGCGAGAGGGGAGCACTAGTTTTATAGAGAAAGAGGAAAGTGAAAGAGTGCAGAGAGGCAGACACATCACAGAGATGACTGGCTGGCTGTCCAGACAAGCGGATTTATATTATCAGTATTATTAATATTATATCTAGTAGCAGCAGCAGCAGCAGCTCAGCAGCGGTAGTAGTAGTAGCAGCAACAGCAGTAGGAGGATGATGATGATGAGCAGCAACTGATGAGCCAGGGAAGGCGACGATGTCTGTCTGTCATCTGTCATTCTCACATCTGGCAGTAATAGGTACCTCGCAGCTTCAGGAACTGCAAGTAGCAATGCAAACCTTCAGTATTCAAATCAGAAAAACACAATTTTTTTTTTTTTTACCCAATTTTACTTTCTGTTTATATATTTTTAAAATCTTTCAACAAGTCCTTTTCAATTAATACAAGAACAAAAAATAAAAAATGATAATAAATGGGGGGGGAGAGAGAGGAAATTAATTATTTCTCTAGTACTTAGTAAAGTTTTGTTTATGGAGAAATAATGCCATCATTTTACATAGCTCTTACTGGTCAAATTTCAAAATCATTTACTGTTTATTATTCATTTTTTTTTTTCAATATAGTATTTTTTATATTTATTTTCAATGACCTTCAAAAGAATACTGTTGAAAGATTTAAAAATACTTAAAATGATAAATATAAAACAATCAAAAGGGAATAAATGAATGAATGAATTATAGTAAATGTATTGGAGAGAAAAAATATGTGTATACCTGAATGACAAGAGATGGACCCTTGTTAACAATTTCCGCAGGAATCTGACTAAGAGGACAATTTTCAATGCTCATGATTTGTAGATTGCCACACAAGGCCAATTCATATGGTAGACTGTGCAGTTCTTGGTTGTCATTGATATACAAGGATTCTAAATTTTCTAGAAAACCTGGAAACAAAAAATTTCAGAGATGTAAAATTTTATACTGGTTACCTGTTGTTTTGTTATAAGCACAAACTCAAATTGAATAAATTTTCAGGTAATTATGAAGATAATAATAAGGAAATAGAAACAAGTGAAATATTAGTTGGAATTTTATCTTGAAAGTATGGTACCAAATCCTTTTTCCAATATTTTTACATCTAAAGACAGTATTTGCTCTTCAGTTCAGACATAAAATTTTGAATTGAAAATAAAAAATTTTTTTTTAAATATCTCTTTATATCTACATGACTTCTAAATTTCTCAACATACTGTTATAGATATGCATATCTTTTTAGTTTCTACAAGAGCTCTCATCTAAAAATAAGTTTAATTTATCAAAGAAAAACTTATTATTTGGTAACTGGCTGCACACAATATCTAAATATAAGAAATAAATTTTTAGAAATATTTTTTATCTGAAAAAGACTTGATCACATCATGAACTTTATAATTTAAGAGTTTAAAATGAAAGGGTTTATAATGCCAAGTAAATATCAAGGAGTTCAAATATCAGACAATATTAAAACCAACATTAGAATAAATAAATAGGTTACTTTCAATTATTTAATTAATGATGACAATAATGGTTAATCAAAGGCTATATAATTCAATATTTCTATGCATCATAAAATAGACACGATATAGTGTAAAAACAAACATAAGAAAACAGCTTTTCCAAATGTTCATTTAAATTCAAATACCACATAATTAGATATAATATCAATATGTGTAAACAATATTCAGTGCACAAGATTCTAGATTTGTTAAAACGTATATGTATTATTATGAAATATTAAAACTGATTTCAAGCAAATTTTGTATACAGTCAATCCATTATAACATCTTGCTGAAACGAAAAATTTTTCGTTTCACCTTTTAAAAGTGAAGTCTGAAGATCCAGAGAAAAATAAAATTCTCTGGTGAAATAAATTATTACAAATGGAGCCTTAAAGTGGTCTGTTTTTCTTTAAATTAAATTATTTGCTCTGACTTAACATTGAGCTCTCAGGATTTCATCCTCCTTGGGATTATCCATACGGATTGTCAAGATTTTTGTTTCATATATATATATATATATATATATATATATATATATATATATATATATATGTGTGTGAATATTTTTCTTCTTTTTAAAAAGGAGAAAAAGAAACAAACAAATTATGTCCCTCCAAAATGCGAATCAGAAATCATTAAAAAGATAAAACTATAACTTCATTGTAATTATATTTACAATTTTTATCTTTCATTTACAATTCTCATGTCAACACACTTTTTCAAAAGTATCCCAATTTCTTTCTCCTAAAATCTTTTATGTAAGAAAATTGAGTAGTACAATAAATTAAGTTCATAAGAGAATGCAAACTTTCTTTTTGATATAAAATAGAAATATCCTAATTTATAATAATAAAAAGTATTTACCTATTTCTGATGGCAATGTAGTCAAATTGTTTTCTCCAGCACCCAAATACGTCAATTCTGTCAGTGAACTGTACAAAATGAATGAAATTTAAAAACAAATCATAAATGTAGTTGTTACAAATTAAGATGAATAAGTGTATTATGCACCAAAGTATTTGTGAAATGTCAAGCATATTGTCAGAAAGTTTTTTCTTATAAAGACAACATAAGTGGCCAAATAAAGTATTTGTTGATTCTAAAGATTTTAATTTTGCAACTATTTTATATAACAGCATATTTTTAAATCTCCAGTAAGAGACTAACATCATTCATAATTTTAGGGAAAAAAAAACTAAGTGGAAAAAGTTTTTGCGTGATGTATTTTGATCTCTAGGACTTCATCATACTAATTGAATGTTTATGTTGATGCAACTACACATGTGCAGGAAGTAAAGGGGACGCAGAGAGTTTTAGATTAAAAATTAAAAACAAATTCTCAGTATCTTCTTTCCTTTGTGCAAACATCACATTAGTATGATGAAGTCCTAAGGGACAAAAAGTGTCACACCAAAACCTTTTCCACATTGTCAGTTTTTCCCCTAAAATTATTTAAGATATATAAAATTTTTTATATTGTTTTCCCATGATCCATAATCCAAAAATTCAATACTACAACCATTGAACTATAGTGGAAAAAGAGTTATTCTTTTTGTGCCTATTGCATTTATGTAAGCAGCATGTGTGCTTACCTGGATAAATAATCAAGAAATTAGTTTTAATTAAATTTACAAATATATTTCACTGTATTAACATTATATGTTTCTATTTTCCCTTCTCCTAAAACTGAGATCTAACTGCTAGATAATCCTGAAAACAATTTATTTGTATTAAATACAATCATCTGGTACAAAGAGGAAAAATGATTGCAAATTGAAATTTCATCAAAATGAATATATTTTGTATTTGAAAATTTTATATAATGCATTAACTTAGCATGAATTCTCTTCATTTTATTAATATTAATGTAAATCGTACAAGTGCTGTGCAAAAATCTTAGACTTTGGTGCCAGCCTTTTGTCTGACACTTGAGTACATCAGCTCAATTATAATGTAGAAAGCAATTTTACAGTAAAAACAATGAATGAATAAATAAAGTGCATACTTTTATTAAATTAATTTAAAAGTTAATTTGATATTGCCATTTTGGAATTATATTTTCAGTAAAGTCATAGTTTACATTTTTTATAAATATATAACTTTTTAATGTTTAGTGTAAACAAACAGAAATAGTAAACATGTGATTTTTTTTCTGGAATGTAATTTTTTTATATAGTTAAGAATTTGCCAGTGTATTTGATTTACAACTTACTGTACACTAAAATGAAATTTATAAATTATAATATTAAAAAAAAAATAAAGCAATTTCCACCAAATCAAAACTATTAAAATTACCACAAAATGATACTTGTTAAATGTTATAATTTTCAGCATTATTCTTTAGCATTTTACATCACATAAGCACAAAAAAAAATCTGCTAGATTTTCTCTTGGTATTCCTAACAAGCATTACTTAACTTTGGTTATTGCATAAGAATTGGTTTTATCAAGATAATATTTTAAGTAATAATAAAGTGATTAAATTTTTCTTTGGTTATGTGTACAAATATTTACACAGTAAAATTGAGACAAAAAGTTATAAACAAGCAATTAAAATGTTTGAACCACAGAGAAAGTATATAATTTTTACATTCAAATCAATAACTACTGCAGCTAGTTTTAATATTGTTATTATAAAAGACAGCAGTATAAAGTTAAAAATAAAACCCATGTATATACTTGTGCCATATGCCTTTTCAAGGAATAAAATATCTGACAAAGAATTCAAACTTAATTCCATGAACTTACCCAATGGCTCTAGGTAAACTGGTTAACAAATTAGACTGCACAACAAGACGCTGGAGCTTCCGAAGTTGTCCTGATATAGGAAAGCACATAAGTCAGAAAAAAAAATGTATAGTTACTTTTGAAATATTTACAACTTCTTTATAAATGGCTTATTTTTTTTTTTTTAACTCTCAAAAGGAAATATAATAAACAAGTAGATGATAAGAATAAGAACAATGCATAAAGTGGACATTCAATTAAAGCAATATTTCTTAATCATTTGTTTACAAAAAAGATTAAGTGTTTATGAACTAAGCTTGAAATTTCAGAAAGTATAAAAATATAAATAATTATACAAGGTTGCTGAAAATCAGTTTTTGACCATGTTTATTATAGTGTCGTCAATTGGTATAAACCTTTCAATTGAGAATTACAAGAAAAAGAGCAAATTATTTAATCATGATTTAATATGATTGCTAAGTAAGGACATTCAAGTTTTGGTTTTTGTAGGGAAAATTAATTTATATAATTGACATTGCTTAAAGTTAAAAGTTGGGAACCATTGTATTTAATAACTTATTTTTGAAATTCTCAATTGAAAAATAAATTAAAACAAACAGCAAAAATAGAGCAAAGTAAATTTAAATTATAGTCATGAAAAACTTGATTCTTTGAAAAACAAAATCCAAAATTTTGGAATCTTTTGAAACAAGTTAAAAATCTTTGATGATAAAACCCACTGTGTATTTCCATCTTGCATGATGCTATATGTTGCTCTCAGATTATGGCATACCATATTCCTCAGTCTTTGAAGCCTTTGATCCATCTCAGACCCCTTTTTACACACCTTTTTCAGTGACATCATTTGATGAGAATGCAATGCTCCATTAAACTAGATAATGTATAGATACTATGTGGGAAGCTGCAGTAAGCAAATATATTTTTTACACAGCCTAAATCATACTATTAACCCACATACTCAACTATTGGTAATCTGCATAAAATACATATTGTTATATAACAAATTCAAATAAAACATACAAATATTTTGCATTTTAAAATGTCAATGAAAGTTACAAAAATGAGACTATGAACATTACATTTAAATAACAGTTGATATCATTTATCAGAGGTTTTAGATTAGAAAATTACTTTTATTGTAAATACTAAAATTCAGGGCAGTAGAATTTTGTGATTAATAAATTTATATATTTTAAAAATTTTAAAAGTGTATAATTAAAAAAGTTTGCCAAGTGAACACAATTTTTAATGAATTACATTATTTCACATTAAATATGATGACACTGAATAATGTAATTTGTCAATGACTAGTGCATATATATATATATCTCAATACCATTCTGTTATTAAAATTAATAAAATATACTTAGCATAACTCAAGGGCTTATGAACTACTTGAAGTTTACAATAAATAATTGTTATATAAGAATAGCAACTTTTCCACTGATAAAGTCAGAGATATTGATATAGCAAATAAATAGCTAAATACACAAATAAGAAATTTTGAATATATCTCATAGTTAAAAACTGGAAATACCCATTTGTTTTAGTATATCTGCTCTT